GTTGATGATAATAATTAACAGAAATGTATTAACACGACTGTATTTGTTCAAGCATGTTTGCCTGATAATCGGATCGAACGTATCGATCAATCAGACCATAACATTATCACCACAAAAAAGAAATGACAAATAAAATAGAACAATGAATAACAATAATAAGTAATTAAGTGCCTTTCAGTAGAAAAAAAATAATAATAATAACCGTTACGCGTTATCAAAGTACAGAATTGTGTTGTTCAATTCGTATTATCATATAAACCGGAAACGCACACCGGGAGGTGGTTGAAACCGCGTTATACACACGCGCCGTGAACAGCTGCAGCTGCTGCTGTGGCGGTAAAATATGCAAATATACCTAACACGATTACCAGCTACCTCGCCTTTCACGGTCCCGCCACATTTATAGTAGGTAATAGGTAGAGCCGTATTGAAAATGAAATACAAAGTTCCTTGCCAGTTATTGTTGGTGAAAATTTAAAAAAAGTTGAGCTTAAATCTGCAATCATTTTTTAAGAGCGTTTGAATTTGGAATTTTGAAAACATTTGTAGAACTCACGAGAAATTGCAAATTAATTTCAGTTAGTGATTCATAAAAATTTCTTTTTTATATTTAAGTTTAGAAAATGTAGTAGGTACAAGATTCCTCATTAGTTTGTCTAAAGTAAATAACAAAAAAAAATGTTTACCGGAGAGTCAAATTAATTCATTTTTATGAGGGTTTGAATTTTTACGACATTGGATATTCACCAGATTTCTCTTGTTTCGATTTTGTTGTAATTCAAAAACGAATTACTGTAGACACTTGAAATTTACATCAAATGTTTATTTTATAATTGTCTATACATGATAACATTTTCAAAATATTTTGACACGTTATAAACTGTTGACCCAGCGGTAAGACAATAATATTGAAGAAAAGAAATTCAAATTTCAAATGTCTATTAATGCTCAAAACGAGTCTAAATATTTTTTAAATGTTATCATGTATAGAAAATTATAAAATAAACATTTGGTGAATAGTGCCTACATGGAGTAATTCTACAGTTCATTGTTTTTGAGTTAAGTACAACAAATTAAGAAAATCAGTCAATGAGAAATCGTTAATTTACGGGTAAATATCCAATATCGAAAAAACATCAAACGCTCGTAAAAATTTAATTTAACTCTTCAATAACCTCTTTTTTAATAAAGGTAAAAACTTACGACTTATGAGGAATCTTGAATTAAACTTTTAAGTCTTAGATATAAAAAGGAAATTTTTTTATGATTTTCTAACTTACCGAAATTTCTAAACTCATTTAGACTAACTATGTAGAACTTTGAATTAAATATTCAAGTTTTTGGCTGAGTATAGAATACCTTTTGGGCTACACGATTGAGCAAAAGTATCTGCGGATCAAAAGAAATCGAAATACAAAAGAAAATCTATACGATTGAGCATAAAAACTCTGCAATGTAACCATTTTCAATTTTGAACTGTTATAAATTTATAATAATGTAAAATAATATAACAAGTCAAAAAAATTACATGATTGCACAGTCAATAATATAGTCACATTATTCACATTATAATATTAAATTATAGATCTGTTTGATAATAATTATAATATTAATGATGTAATATTCATACTTTCTGGTTACTGAATATCGTGAAGTTGAAATTTATAGTAATAAATTTAATTGGTATGCTTAGTATCTGTTTCCAAGTTGGCTAAAATATATTAATAGAGATTCCGTATTCTTACGATTTAAATATTGGTTGAAACTTGAAAGTTTGAATTTTAAATTCTATTTTGTTTAATTTCTTTAGCGCATTGTAATTGTATGTGCTTATGTTGAATTGATTTGATCTTGATCAGTGTTTCTGATTGTGTTTCAAACTTTCGGTCAATACCCTAACGACTGCATCAGTGCCGGCGCCCAGCGCTAGGAGAGGACAAATGAGACATATGTCCAGGGCCCCGCACTTGTCAAAGAACTCCGCGATTTTTAATTATCATCTTAATAGGTACCGTAAGACACATTGGCATTTTACATAATTACATTTACAAATTATAAATTTATAAATGTATTATTCTATACTACACATCACTAGGTATATAATATTATATGTATTATAATATTATACAATGTATTATTCCTATCACCAGTTATTTGGAAATCCATATGTAAATCTAGCCAAAAAAATGTAGCTCAATTTTAACTACAAAGTAAATCGTTATAGATACGACAAAAGAGTAATATTTTGGATATACCCGTAGGATAGGGATCCTTACCATAAATATTTATTATCTCTATAGTTATTGTTTTCTCTGTTCTTTATTTGGAAAGGCTTTCCGCGTATTGCCGTATGTCCGTATGACAGTATGATAGAAGGGGCAAGAGCTATATTCTTAAAATATTTATTTCATAAGGTATCCAAAATTTATAATATGTCCTTACTTCAATTATATAATATTGTTGTTGTATGTACCTAATTAGTTATTATTTTACTATTTTTTAATAATTTTGTGTTAACACATTATAATAAAAAAAGGATAAGAATACCCTAATATTATTATTTTTAATGTTTACAAATTCGAAAAAAAAACAATATATTTTTTTTTAAATCCTGTTTTAAAAAAAAAGCCAAAATTTTATCTTCCTCTGAGGTACCTAATGGCCCATGCCTTGTCCGGGCCCCGCAATACCCAGCGCCGACACTGGACTGCATAGACATGAGGGTGAGGTGAATAAAAGTAATTCAAAATAATTAGTGCACTAATACGTGAAAATAATCAATAACTAAATTTCGGCAACGTGAATGTGGCAACATACAATAAAATATTCCATGCTCAATCGTGTTGCTAAAAAGGAATATGCTCTATCGTTTTATGCTCAATCGTGCTTTACCGAAGGACGAAGGTTGTACTGACGATAATTTAAAAGAAACTTATAAAAGTCGAATATTTCTCATAGGTAACTATAAATAGCAGTGTCAAAATATTTTAAAATTTGTATGGTGTAAGTACCTATAGAAAATGGTGTTATAAACTTATAAGTTATAAACATTCGGTAGGTTTCATACGTAGGTATATACCATCTAAAGTAATTTTTTTTTAATTACCTACACTAAAAATCGAGTTATAAAAATTGGGTTGTATCCTATATAGGTACCAAAGACTGGACATTCGAGACTCCCTCCTAGCTGATCATTGGTGGACATCCACATCTGACATCACATTAGTCTTAGTTCCCAAGTAATAGATATAGGTATTGAAGTCATTCTTGAAAAGAGACAAGGCTAAGCCCCTTCCAAAAACTAAAAGAATTGTTTAGGGGTTTCGTCATAAGATTTACATAATGCAACATAAGAGTTAAGAGTATCCAGTATAATCCTCAAGCTGCACCCCCCCCCCTCCCTCAAAAAAAAAATTCAAACACTATTTGCGCTTATGCCTTATAAATAATTTAGCAGTTTAAGAAGAGATAAATCCATGTGTTTAATTCGTCACGGGCAACGCCGTACAAGATTAACTATTAGGTATTATGTAATTTGATTAAAAACTACTTACTTTTTATATACATGCATATAAACAATTTTAACAATTTTAATATGATAACAGATAAGCGATATATACATACGTACAGTAACGTATTTACTATTTAAGAATATTACACCTCAGGTACATCGTACATAATCAAGTAGAGGTCCATTCCATCAACATTTACAACATAAGTACTCACCTAAAGTGCTAGATGATTAAGTATTAAGTTCCTTAGTCTCCCACAATAATAACCCTCCCAGTAGTTTTTTTTAATCTTAACGCCCCAAAACGAGTCTAATCATTCATTTTGGTTCTTCAAAATGTTGAGTGTCTACAGGCTTTTTGTTGCGTTTCCAAATTTGATGTAAAGCAAATAAATTTGAGTGTCAAGTAGATACTAAATCCCTTGCTGCAATTCAGATTACTTTTTTTTGTAAAAATGTCCTACTAACAGCTACTTTACTATGTGGTTATAACTTATAAGTAAATACTTATTTATCCGTGGTTAAGATTTTCAATAAAAATGTTGTCATGAATCATGTTAGTAAATTACTAGATACATCTTACCTTGAACAAAATAAGAATTTCATGACTAAAAAGAAAATTTTACACCATGTTAATAGAGATTCATTCTAAATCTGTACATGCCCTTGCCCTTGTCACTCCCATAGTAAAAAATATCAAGGCTAAGAGCTTGCATTCAAATGTTGTGTATATTTATTTAAATGTGTGTTATGGGCTAACTTATTTCCATTTATCCGCAGCTAAAGTCAGCTTATTATCTTCCAAACTAGAATATTTTTCAAAAGAAAGGAGTACCAAATCCTATCTTAGGGAATTACAAGTTCCTGTACATAAATATAAGTGTCTACATAAGATATATAATGCAACTTACCATTAGCCATTAAATTGGGAGTGGACAAGCTTCATATTTGCAAGTGATATTTTTTTTACAATTATATTCAATATTATTTTAAATATACATTTTTGTTAATAAATAAAACTTCTTTAAAATTATAAAATAAAATATAATAAAAACCAAAATAACAGTAATAGGGTGTATTCTATTTAAGCTGTTGAGTGTCAAACACTTACTGGTAACATTTTGTGTAAACAATTTATAAAACATGTATTATTGAAGATTTAAGAATATTAGCAAAACTAATATTTTTATAAATCATTATCAATAATAAATAACTCTTGTTATCAAAATATATACTTTGTTATTTAATATTTTTTAACTAGATTTTTTTTTATAGAATACAATACAATTTATGATGTTAATAATAATTGCAGTTATAATAAAATAATGATATATAAATTATTTAGCATAAAATAACATAATTCAAATGATAAGTATGAACTAAATATGCATATAGAAAATAGTATAATTTAATAAATATAATGTCTATTGATATCTTTTGTCAGCAATTAAGTTTAAGAAATCATAATGTATTTTTTTATTTACTTTTATAATTATTGGATACATAACATAATTCAATTATTAAACTTAAGTTATCTGGAACAGACATCAATTTCTTAAATGTTAGATTGAAGAATGTCTTTAAAATTTTAATTTTTTTTTTTTACTTAAAATAGAAGATTATCGTCATCAACAATAGTAATAATATGGAATTATTAATATTGTTCAACATCACTGCACAAGTGTACACTTGTAAATAGAATCTTTTTCTTCATATTATAAGATTCGACAAATACAATTAATATTAAACAAAAAAAAAAAAAAAAACAAGAGGTATAAAACTACAATAATTATTTACCATAGTATAAAATAATTTTTTTTAACATTTAAAATGGCCAATATTCTAAGGATACAATATATTATTATTTTTAAACAGGTCCATCAATAGAGCTGACTTTAATTCGGCAGTAATATATACATTTCCAAAGTGCTAAAAGTGTTAATATGAGGATACCTGTGAAAAAGTGAAATATGCAAATATTATTAGGACAGAATTATATTTTAATACATTGAATTTCAATACTAACCAATGTGAATAATGAAATAACCGCTGTGAGCCTTTGCGTTTGAGTATGTGAAGAATACAACACCTCCACCAATAATAAACAATATTACGGATAAAATGAGGAAAAATATGGCTTTTGCTTTGGCGAATTCAGGGCCAACAGAAGACCTGTAACCAAAGATAACAAATATTATAATGAATACAATATTAGATTTAATTTTAAAAAAAAAATCAAAGGATACTTACACTTTACGGCAATGCGGACATCTGGCCAATGCGTTTTGTAACATATTAAACTGAAATATAATTTGAATAAATTAATCAAGACTTAAATATTACATTAATTTTTTTTATTTAATAGAAGCAAAAATATAAATGTTGGTATTTTGTTTGGATAAAGAATCTAATCTGGAAGAAGTGTCATTGATCTTAAGAACCAAAACTATTTTAGTTTTGGTTGTTATTAAACAGTAATTACTTAACATACTGGTAATTCCCATACCTTTCATACATGTGTACAATTACAGTTCCACATGGTTTTAGATAAATATTATCTTTTATTATTGTAGTTGTAAATGTTTGTATCAATAATAGGTAATTTATTCTACAAAACAAATTGATTCAGATGAGTGATTAATTATTACTTATTTGTTTACTCATTCTTCAAAAATTTGGGTCAAATAATAAAAAGATAAGATTACACCAACAAATTGGTTTTATAATAAATGCCTTTATTTTTTTTTGTACTTCTATAAATACACCTTTGTCTTTAAAAATAATATATTATTTGTTAGTTGGTAAGGATAATATTTCAGAAAATCCCTTCTCTAGTATATATAATCAATAATATAAATACATCCAAACAATTGAGTAATATAAAAAAAACTTTTAATTAATTGGTCAAAAAGATAAATAAAACCTTCATTAAATTTTTCAACATGACACTACTCCAGGGTTAAATAAGGTCTCATAATGTAGGAGACAATTATATAATTTAAAAAAATAAAATAAAAATGACATAGCGAGTATATGAAAACAAATACTTGAATACCTTTTGAAATGTAATTACCATAATTCCAAAATTGTTATAATAAATATTTATTACCTATTACCTAATAATTTATTGTTCACTTAAAATAATCTTTGGTTCAGAATATTGTTAGTCATGAAATTATTTAAATATTTTCAATACTTACAAGGAATGTATCCTGGCAGTGCACACAAGTAACGCGACACATGCCTGGAACCTGAGGTATTGGGGGTGTTACTGGACTTGGCGCTAAGTTTATAACTCTTTTGCAGTTTATACGGGGACAAGCAATACGTTGTGACGTACTTTTGCAAATTAAAAGACAGTGACACAAACAGCGTACGTATTTCTTGCCTGCTGGAGCGCTTCTTATAGGCTAAAATTTGTAATTTTAATTTAATGATTATGCAATGTTGTTTTAAATGTATACTATAATCTATAACTTATGGGTAAGTATAAATATATATAATATATGTAATACATATTGTGCATCTTAATTTTTAACCATAGTTTACTAAACCATTTTAATTTTACTCACAGTAGCTTCATTGCAGCGATTACATTTTACAACATGTTGTTCCCTTTTACCAATTACATCAATCATTTCTTGACAAACTCTACATGTTACTTTAGAAGCAGCATTTTCAGGTCCCATCTCAGGAACTGTAAAATCTGAATTTTCATTTGGTACATTATTAGATAATGTATTGGAATCAATAATGGACGAAGAAGGAGAATCTAAAAAAAAAATACATAATTGATTGTACATTGTACATGAAAATTTATGTATAATTGTATTTTAACAATAACTATACATTCATTTGTAAATTAAAATACCTATCAAATATCTTAGTAAACTCTACTCAAGTTAAGAAACATATACGGCAGCCAACTTTTGAGCCTTTTAAAACTACACAATTTGCGTTAAAAAGGAACGTTTGCAGCCTAAATATTTGCACTACATATTATGCAGGGGCGTGGTTTTTCTATACAGGAAGTGTACAAATGATTTACACGGTGAAGAAGACCGACTAATATTACATAATAATAAGATAAATATACCTATTATAATATTTTTAATCAAGATGAAGTAAAAATGTAATTTCAAGTTAAAAAAAATCTAAAACAAAGCTTCCCAAACATAGATAATGTCAATCAAACACTAACAAAAAATAATTATACTTACATATTAAAACAACCAATTTAATAATCATAAACCAATAAGTTACCAACCAGGTTTTTGTTTAACTTTTTTTACATACCTACCTAGTTTTAAAATAAAACATAAAGGTTAATTATTTATTTTATACATTTATTAACAATGGCATGTTACAATATATGGCCACAGACTTCAATGGCATTCTATTGTTTATTGTTGTAATGTTTCATAAGTTTAAAATACAGAAATGTTCTTTATATTGAAAATTTAAAATTTAGTTTAAAAAATTTAAAAATATTATACAAAAAAAAACCAATTATCAATTTAAATCAATAGGTAACCAATAATTGGCACTTCTATACTTCTTTTGTTCATTATAACTTTGAAAAATATTTGTATAATTTTAGATATTTGGATATAGAACTAACAAATAAAACTGTTAAATATATTTACCTACCTAATTATTATTTATTGTCATGCAAGTAAAATAATTAAATTTTTATAAAACAATTAACTAGAATAAAAGTACCTAACATTAATTTAAATATACAATTAAAACAATCTTACATTAATACTTAGGTAGAAAATACAAATTTATTAGTCTATTATTTGCTTAAATTTTTTTTATAACTTGAAGTTTATTTTAATTCAGATTAATAAACCCTACTACCTAACAGAGTTAGGCAAGATCACCTTTATTTTTTCATTCAATAACAAATTTATTTATACCTGATTTAAGGAAATTCAAAGTACCTACCTAAACTTAGAAACTACATTTTCAAATAAGTACTTACATTTGTTATGGCATTTGAGGTGTGCCCTATGGTGATACTATCTTTTTTTTACAAATGAGTACCTACCTACCATCTTTTTTACTGAAAAATGTTAACCAGATGTTTTTTTTTTTAAATATCATTAAGTACATAAACCAAACAAGTACTTTGTTTTTTAATTACTATACTTTATGTGCTATCAATAATAATTTATAGTACAGAAATACATACAGACTAAGATGATTTTTATATTTTAGTAATTAGCATTTTATCATTTGTAAAAGTTATCTGAAGCAGTTGTATACATACTAGACTCATGCCAGGTAAAGCTAATTATTTAATGAATTAATAGTGAGCTAATGGTGCCTACAAGACTTAGTGATCCATGACTGGTCCATTGAATTTAATCAATTTTTTATGTAACATGGCATAAAAATAGGTATTTGATGTAAAATCTATATTTAAGATAATTATGCTTAGAACCAAAACACTATTTTAATTTTTGAAACAACACATTAAAATTTTTTGATTTATGTACATCAAAGTTAGAATCAGAATTTTTTAAGAAAAACCATGTTAACAATTTACAGTAACAAAGAGTTTGTTGTTGGTACTCATTTTGAAAAACAAAGTTTATATTGCCATAGAAATAACAACTCAATGATAACTTTAAATTATATAATTGTAATTATCTAATATTTTAGACTGGGCTGCATAGACAATAATTAAACATTTAATAAACCTTGGTAATGGTCCCTTAAACATGATTTAGTAGTCTATGATTGGTCAATTAAATTTTAATAAACTATTAAATGAACCAATTGTTTTATGTAACTCGACTATTAGTATCTAAAATTATGGCCTTAAGAGATACCTATGTTGATAATGACAAATCTACACAATGGACATGGACAAAGGCAATAAGCAAAGTCACTAACTCTTCTAAGATCAGTTGAGCAGACAATACTTCACCTATCAATTGGTCTGTTACAAGACAGCCCGATTATACAGGTACCGACGATAAGGACACTACACAGGTACACATGATATTATAATAATAATGATGTGTGACCATTGTAACCTTTGTAGTTTTCGCACACTAAAGACAAAGGGAGAATAAAAAATCCCAGGTATCTGTCATAAATATATCAACATCAGCTGCGTTTACCTGCTTCCGAAGCTTTTTGAGCGGTCATATCGCTGTTGTCCAACAGCGGTTTCGTGTCCGTCATTTTTCCACGATCGGCAATCGGCAATGACAACAAAAGTACAGTATTATACAACGCACCTAGGTATTGTAGTTACTATTATTATTATTATTGTTATCGAACTGCGTCGACAATGCGGACAAACGCGGCCGACGGGGGAAACGCCGTGACAAACGAGAACGGCCTACGGAATACTAAAGTGGAAACCAAGTCGTGAAAACTAAAAAGTACTACCCGTCTACCGTATACGGCGGGCGGCGGCGGCGGCGGAGTTTCCAAGCTCCATTGTCGTGTTACGGCCAACAATTAATTCTTTATCACTCGTCCGTCGCGCGGTGTCGGTGTGTGGCTGGTAGGCGCGAGACGCAAAACAAACACCGAACGCAGTAATAATAATAAAATATTGATAACGCGTTACGCGATCAATATGGCGACTGATCGTAGACGTTCGACGTGCGTCACGCACAGCGGTTAAATGTTGAAATAATAGTAAATAATACAATTAAACATTTAAAGATTATTATAACGTTGTTATTTGAATTGGGTATTTGTTTAACTACGAGTGCTGGCGATCGGGTTGTGGTATCACACTGACCAGGAAATAGAACGTTTTCGGGTTCCTATATACGGTTCGTGATAAAATTGTCGCGAAAATATTGGTGTAGGCCAATGTATCGTCAGCGCGGAAGATCGGTCGTGCTTAGAGCTTTCAAAAATTATGATATTTATTATATTTTGTTATGATACTATGATATTGAACCCGACAACCGCAGTCCGTAATATTATAACAAAGAGTGGCGACGGTCAAGCAGTCAAGGCAAAAGTAAATTATGTAATTATTATTGCCTATCGGTATTTACTATTTGGTGACCGCGAGATGTCGGTGACGGCGACACAAAACATACAGTATTATATTAAATTATTAATAATATTATCACCGGACGTCGGATGCGGGAGTATTTTCGTTTCAGCTTGGCCCGGGAATTTTATTATTTGATAATAATTCGATTGAGATAATTATAATTTTTTTTTTTCTCTTTATCCGTCAACCACTGACGGCCTGCGTTAATTCGTAATCGTCATGGTTTTGGCTCTCCGCCAACGACGACGTGGGTTTTCCTAGCCGGCTGAAATGTTATACAGGGTGTCACGTAAGGATATACCCATTAGCCGTAGAGGGGGCTCGCCGTCCAGACAAAAAAAGGTTTTTCGTCGTTTTGCCTATTCACTAAAAAATGATAAAAAATCATGAAAATAATATGTTGAAAGGTCAACATTTTCAGAAAAATAAACTCTACAAAATGGATATATCTTCAATTGTAAAATAAAAAATGCATTTTTTAACAATTTAATTAAATCAAAAATAAAATCTGCAGTCCATGTCTTAGTGAATCTAAAAAAGAAAACAGATTTATGATACATTATTTATCTCAGGAGATATCGCAATGGGTAAATCCTCGCTAGACACCCTGTATCTTGTTATCACCACATCTTCATCTTTTTTTTTTTAAATCAGTAATCATCGCTATTACCGTACTCAGTGACCGACGATGGTCAAATGATTTTGTCATTTTACATCAATATATCTATATAAGTTATTATAAATATTGAAAAATGGACATTGGGGTCGGGGAGGGCTTAGTTTTGAGCATAAAGAAAAAATTTTAAATCATGAGGGGGATTATAAAGTGCATTTTAGCTAAACTTTTTACCTTTTAAAAAATTAATATCGCATTCATAGAAAAAAAACATGTATTGACATATTGTATTTTAGTCTATAACTAAATAATTCAAAAGACGTCAAATTATTTCGAACATAAAATGAAATTAAAAATGACACTTAACATTTGGTGAAATTTCAAGCATCTTTTGAGTTCACCCTAAAAATCTAAACAGATTTTGTCAAAAACTGCTTATGCGTAAAAATAACTGTTTTCTCTGATTATTTTGAAATATATAGGTTATACTGTGATTTTTCAATTTTGAATTCTCAAAAGTATTTACTAGATCTAATTTGCTTTCAGAAACCATTCTTAAAGATGATAAATTGAATCATTTTTCAACTATTTATCGTGTATACACACAAAAAAACACACATCATATTAAAATTATTGCATTCATCGCCTTGCTTAGAATCTAAAAAAATTGAGTTCTATTTTTAAAATGTTTAATAAGCTACAAGAATAATGTTTGTGGATCTTATATTAAATTTTGAAGGTTTTTGATCAAACCTAAACATTTTTATCAGCAATAAAAAATTTAAAAATTTAAAATGTCTATATTATAATATGTAGGTTATAGGTGTATTTAATATCAAATTATTATTTATTTTTAGTCTAAATATTTTGAAAATATCATTGGGAATAAAAAATTACGATAAATTTACAATATTTATAAATAATCAATTATAATGTTATGTATAACTAACAGACAACAGTAAAATATTTAAAGTGTCTTAAGTTATTTTTTGAATTACCACAAATTAATTAAAATCGCTTGATGAGAAATCATTAGGTATTTCAAGTTTGAACAACCAATTTTATACAAAATTTAACTTAAGTTCACTCAAATTTTTTTAGTAAATCTTGTTAGAAAAAATTCTATGGAACCTTACTTCTAAATATTAAAAGTCATACACATATTTAGCTAAAAAATAATAATAGTTTTAAAATTTCAGCAATGTCGTAAAAATTCTGAACTTAAAACGGTAATAAAAAAATATTGTAGATGTAGGTTCACTCAATTTATTTTTAATCCCTTTACATTTTTTTTATCGTTCGTTTTAATAAAACAATCTTAAAAAAATTAAAAATGTTATATGTCTATAAAATAGCACAAAAATAGTCAAAACATATATATGACTCAAGGTTGGGTAAGTTAATTAAAATAAGCAATTGTGACAAGTTAAGCCATTACATTTAATTGCTAATATAAGTATATAACTATTTGGTAAAAATATAAAGTATTTTCGTTTTTCGTTTTTGAATAAGTACTACAAAGTTAGATTTCTATAATGCAGTATTTGGACGAGCGAATTCCAAAAGAAACCGATTCCTAGGGCGATTTCATTTTTAAAAGAACGAGGGACGAAACAAGTTCCTATTTTTCGAGGTAAAGTAACGTAATTTTTCGTTTCTGCTGACTTCTAAATGTCGATTTACACAGAATTGTAAATAATTGAAATTAAAATATACATGTTCTTATACAGTGTATTGACATTTGTCTTTGGTGATATTGTTATCAAGTGTCGACATTAAGACTTATATTGAGTTATAAATATTCATACTAATATTTTTTATACACAAAAATCATTGCAGTCGTTAAGGCATGAAGAACATGAACATTAAACAATAAAAATATTTATGATGCTGGTTGGAACTTGAGGCCTACAGCTAAAATGTATAACAATAGGTATCTATATAACTATGTAAGTATGTGTATCACTATATAGATGAACTCTGAAGATATTCTAATTATTATTTAATTAAAACTATTATAACGTTATTTAAATTATTATTATTTTAATATGAGTATTTAAATTTTTTAATTCAACCATTTTATTTCTATTATTATAAATCTATATATTTGAAAAGAAAACATTGACGATTAAATAAGAATATTAAATGAACAACATAAACCTTCTAAAATTGTAATATTTTTGGTATTTTAACCAGTTTATAAATTCGTGAACAAATGACTAAACGTACACTGTCATTATGTCATCCATAATTCGTTTTTTATGAATATAAATTTTTCATATTATATTATATTTTAAATATAATAAATATTTGATGAGTAGCGTGTAATTACTAATCGATAACCATTTGATATTTTGATCACTGTTACCGAACGTCGAACAATTTGAATATATTTAAACTTTATAGTAACGTGTTCAATTATGGCGGACGACAAAATTGAATATAAAATCAACCTTGGAATTTGCATACATTATGTTTACCTATTTTTTTCTATTGAAACTAAAAAAGGAACTCTTTAGAAAATTAACGACTACGGGTCGAATTCTTTTTTTTTAATAGATACAAAATAGAATTATTCCCTTTTTTATTATAAGAACGAGGAACAGAACGAATTAATTTGTTTAAAAAACAAGCTAAACATTTAAATATAACCTAACTGTTAGTTTTGAGTAAAATATTAGGTTATTTTTAGTTTTGTTTTCCCCTTAATTAAAAATACTAGAAATTTGATTTTTTGACCCAATAAGTACCAACTAGTTAAGCCTTTAGGGACTTAGTATATAATGTCTTTCGACCTTTTTTTTCATTAATCTTGGGTATAAGGGGAATTAGTTCCTAATTTATCTAATTATTTCTCGAGAATCAATTTTATAACACAAATAATAACCCACCATTCCCTTCTTAACCATGACCATGAAAGACCCGCGGAAGATGGTATTTTGGGTCAATATAGTAGGTAACCACTTGTAATTTACACCTCATCTAAATATTAATTTTGGTAAACTGTGTCACACTTTCAATTTCAATTATTACCTATTGGTATTTACTTATTTACGATTTACCTTATACATTAATCGAGCTCACATCAGTTATAGCACACAAAACGTGAATACATAATTTGAACATTAATAATTGGACAATGAATTATATCTTATATTCCTAATTCTTATTTACATATTATAAACTTGAATATTACTAATTTATACACAGTAGGTACGTATACTTATTACCTACTCACCAACAATTACATTTAAAATACATAGGCACGATTTTGTTTTATAAATATTTAAAGTTCAAATGCTGAAAAAATGTATCAAATTGAAAATGTGCATATTATTTTGTAGTTAAAAATATAGTGTTCAATCTGCATAGTTGAGGATCGAACATTTAGTACAAGATTTCATACTCTAAAAATTATACATACACAATTTTTTTAATAGATATTTGAAGTTCAAATTTGGATGAAATTAGATATTTAAATGGAGGATAAAGATTTTTGTTCTTTTATTGTGAATTAAAAATATTATTCTTGGGTACCTACTTGTTACTTTTAAAGTATACTATATTTTATAGATAGGTACAGTCATATTGTAAAATGCGATGTTTTTGGGAAAAAACAATTCAACCTAGTGTATACTCCTACACAGCATTACGCTATTACTAATAGCAAAATAAATTACTTTGATAGTTTGATGTCACTAATATCATAACATATACGATATACCTGGTAATACACTAATACCTACCTGTGTCATTGAATTCAAATTTAACATTTGGATTATGGCGATCCACTAGACAACTAATGTTCAGCAGAGCGACTACATCGATTATTTTATAATTCCCTAAATTAATTAACTAAATATTTAATTATATAAAATCGTAAGTCAAAAACCTTTATTTTTAGTTTAAATAAACAATTTTCGGTTAGCTTTCCTATTGGCTGGCGTCCCCCAAGGAAGCGACATAGCGCCTTTTCTTTACACCATATTTGCACAGGACACTCCGAAAACTTTACATACATCATTAGGCACATACGCCGACAATACAATAATCATGGCCTCAAACGACAACCCTCAAACTGTGACTGATAGGTTACAAAATCATCTAAGCATGATCCAGATCTGGTCAAAAAAATGGAAAATAAAAATAAATGACTCCAAATCCTCCTTTATTACTTTTTAATTAAGACCTGGAGACTGCCCTCCAGTTTCATTCAATAATAACTTAATTCCAACAACCTCTGTAGTCAAATACCTGGGTCTAACGTTTGATAAAACGACTCACCTGGGCTCAACACCTCAAAAACAAAAGGAAATCTGTAAACTCTAGACTTCATTTGCTCCGTCCACTTCTCCGCTCCAAACTAAAAATCAGCAATAAATTGTTAATCTACAAAGTTATTTTAAGACCAGTATGGGCATACGGCATCCAGATATGGGGCTCCGCGAAACCCTCAAACCTGCGAACTATACAAGCCTTCCAATCAATATGTCTCCGTCAAATCGTTTCTGCCCCTTGGTATATAAAAAACGCCAATCTTCACAAAGACACGTTCCCACACTTTCTCAGCTAACCAAATCCCACTTCCTCTCATTCCATTCTAAACTAAATCACCATACTAATCCATTAATTAAACGCCTGTCTTCTTATACAATTCCCGATAATCCTAGAAGAAGATTGAAACGATCTTGGCCTAGAGATTTCCTTGCTTGATCTATGGGGTGGTACTACTGAGTACCTTCCCTCTCTGTTATATCAACACTATTTTCCATCAAAAAAATTACTTATTGTATAAAATGTTTGTATAGATTGTAATTATTCTTTAAATAAAATAAAAAAATAAATAAAATAAAAAAAAACAATTTTACTAAAATTTGAACCTAAAATGTCTATAAAAATTGTCTAAATGTATTTTTATTTTATTTAAATTTCAATAATAACAAATTACGATCCGTAGGTAGGTATGTATAAGGTTTTTGTGACTGTCAACCCTATAACTGAAACTAGTAGAATATTTTTAATAAATGCAAATAATTTGCAAATCTTCATATTTTAAAATTTTGTCAATATTTAAACTTCACTCCCTTATAATTAAAAAAAAGCGGGTAAGTGGATGTCGCTCTACTGTAAAATAGGTTACAACTTACAAGTGGGTCACTATAATGGATGGTATTAAATTCGAATGCAATGATAGAAAATCATTGTACGCTATAATATAATTTGAGCCTCAGCCTATGATATTACTTTTAACAGTTCAAACACATTATTATGGAATATTATAATGATGAAAACTCAATTCATGATTTGTGAAGCTGCTTATATCTCGTTAAGTGGCCAAGTTATAAAAAATAATAATGAAGACAAAATTATTTAAAAAAATAGAAGCTACTAAGTTCCTACTGGGTTAATAAATATTATTAAAGTTGGAATTATTAATAAGTAAATTGTTTTACTTATCATTAGTGTATATAATTTGAGTAAATAAATTAAGAAATGCAGGACGAAGGTCGACGGTTGAAGGGGTAACGTTCTGCTGTGCATTAGATGTCTAGAGAAGTCACTGGAATGGATGTGTCAAATTTGAATTTAATGATTGAATGATATCAAATCATTGTATACCAAAAATGGTTCTGAGTGAAGACGGCCTATGATAATATTAAGCATATTTTATGTTATTATTGGGATTAAAGTAATTTATTTTACTATTAGACAGAACTTCAGAAGTACTGCAGTAGGTTAACTATATTTTCGCAAACAAATTACATTTGAAAGTTTCATTGTATGTGTATTAAAAAATATAATAGTATACTTAATCTAAAATTTTCATATACCAATGAATACTATATTTTTTGGTTACGGAATTAATTGCCTACTTACGTGGAACTCTGTTTTAAGTTTTAACTGCCATCGTAACAATATATTAGGAGCCTACATTTTCTTGTGTCTCTACTCTCAATGGAACCTATATACAGAGACAGAGCTTAAAATGACTCGCAATATTTCGAAAATATCTTGGTGCATGGAAATTGCTAATAAAAACATTCAGTGAAAATGGCATCTACCTATAAACATTTATTTTTTTTATAGTTCGACTAAAAACCAATTTTTCGAAAACTGGATTTGCCTACTGGTACTGAAGTACCAACTAGATTCACTTTCCTGCCAGAAAAGATGAAGTTGAAGAAAATCAAATCATTCTCATTGCCTCAAAAGGCGATGAAAGATACAAAATAAAAATAAAAAACATTTTCATTATAAAATCAATTCATTTATCGCTCCACTGGTATCTAAAATAAGCCTCATCACTCATCAGTCATTAGTCATTAAATACGTAAGTACAACTATGTGTTATGAAGGATCTTGTACGCATTACCTATTTTTTTAAACTTTTTTACGAAGTACCTTTAGGAATACTATTTTTGTTCAACACTTATAATTTTATAAAAAAAAAAAACTATGACAATTAAAACTTTCAATATGTATGGAAAAATGTTAATTACGTATAACATTTCAAGTTCTTACGAATAATATTTTTTGCATTACAAATTGTCGACAAAATAGTAACCAAAACTAATTACCTATGAAGAAATTGTTTTTTATACTTTTGAATAGCCAATATATATTTTGAAGAATTACGTAAAAATTTGAGCTTTAAATTAATTTATTTTTAAACTGTTTTGTAACCAACATTTTTTAACCGTGTTTTTATAAGTACCTATACCATTTTTTGAATTTTTGCTACAACAACTAATGAGGAACTTTTTGTACTACAATTTTAAGCTTTTATACTTAAATAAATAATAACAAATATCTTATCAGTTATCAACATAGTTCAAAGAAAATCTTAAAATGGTATCTTTAAATAGCTAAAAAAAGCCAACATATTTTGAAATGTAGAATTTTTTGGAAAATGCTAACATCAAGTTTCTATTTTGGAAATATTTGTTGTTAGATAATTATTTCCAGGAATCAAAGTGGCACAAAATGATTGGGGTTCTGTGATTCATATTTTATTTTGAGCGTTAATCCATCCTCATGTTTTTCCATACAACAGTTCATTAAACTGTTGAACCTAAACAATTGTTCTCACCATAGACCTATTAATTCTAAGTTAATAGGTCTATGGTTCTCACAATATTAATTGCTTTTGTCAATAGGTAGGTGGCAAAAATATCAATATTATATAGAATCAAAATACCTATGTATACAATTTAGTTAAATAGGTAGGTACAAAATATTTAGTTAGGCACATAACTCACATTTTTCTTTCTTTTTAGAACTTAATTTCACATTTTCACAAAAAACTATACATTACTATATTAAAATAGACTTATTGTCCGTATATTCGTAATAAAATAAAAATAAAATAGAATTACATTTTCATTGTAACTCTTTTTCACAGTACCTACTCACATTTCACAAAATGTTAAATATAATAACTAACTATTAGTTAATAAGTTACAAGATTCATCAGGCAAATCATTTATTAATATTTTTTATTTAACTTAAAAAAAAATATGCTTATAAATTTACCACTACGACAATATTTACTTTAAAATATAAAGAAAAAAAACAATCATTTATTTATTTGAGTTTCATTTTTCACAATAATAATATACTGATGTATACTATAGTTCAGTATATATTGCAGAATTATGTATAATAATGGTACTAATGCACTAATATAAATTATTTCCTTAAAAACAAATACAGGCCATATAGCTAATGATATTCACCATATTTATCATAAACAATATATAACAATAATTTATAAACTTCAAATAAAAATTAAATAATTTAGTTTTTTTCCAAAATTAAGTATAACAATTGAATTTTCAAAGGTTTATTAATATTTAAGGAAACAATTGAATAATTTATTTAGGGGCTGAGCGCCAAAGGATACGACACCTCTTATCATTCACACATATTATATGATATATCTATCGCAACCTAACAGATGTAACCGGCTAAATTTGTGTGAGTTTTGAAATAAAAGTAGAAACTAATAAGACCAAATGCATTATTTTTATCAGTAAGGAACTCCTTCCTATAAGCCTACTGGATTAAGGCTGTATAAACTGTCCTCTCTCGCTATAAAACTTACGACCACCGACTACTAAGTACAACTGGAAATCTAAGACTTCACCTAAAAAGAAAAAACTTTTCATCCCATCACATATTTTGTATTCTAAAATAAGTTAAAAACTAATTTTATCTGTATATCATGTATTATTATTCTCTAGTGATGACTAATTCAACAAAATCAATGACTGTAATATTTAAGTCTATACTCTGCGGTGGTCGAAGTGGCTCAAAATAAGTGGAAGGATGCCTTTCATAATTTATATAGTTTTCATATATTGATTAAACAGTGGTATAAAATAAGTAGAGGGATGGAAAATATGAATTATAAAAAGTGGAGGGATGCCATCCCACTGTATCCCCCTCACTTTGACCACTGATACTCGGTTCAAAATAAGATCATCACCCGGCGGTGATGGGTTTTGTTAAGCGGTGGTCAGACGCATGGTTAGATAGACACGTCCATACACACAACTTGGCTGCAGGGTAATGATCTTATTTTGAACAGAGTACCTATAGAATACTAGCATGAAATAAATACAATTATTCAGTAAGACGATCCCGCAGCCTATAGTTATTCAGTAGCCTAGTTTAGTCCTTTAGTTCATCTGATATAATATTTATAATATTGTTTTTATTGTTATTTACTTAGAAAATAACATGGTGGTCTTGAAGGATAGTCCTACAGATCTCAAATCAGAAAAAATAACAACAAATCAATGCCAATAGACATTAAAACACTATGTAGTGTAGATAGAATCATAGTATGATAATATCGTAGATGTCATATATTTTATTGTTGATAGTTGGAATAATTGTAGGTAATTGATTTTATCATATTAACCAAGTATAACATGGACAGTTTTAATACACATAAGAAATTTACATTTTATTAAACCTTAAAACATTAACTTATAAAATAATATAGATGTATATAAATATAGAATACAATTTTTAAATTATGTTATTTCTATAGTTTGACAGAATCTAGTGATTCTTTGAAAATTAATATTCATAATAAGAAATTAGTTATTATAGTTTAGTTACCATTATAAAATCACTTTCCATTAGAAATTGGTAAATAAGCTGAATGCATGATTGTATAAACAAAACAAAAATACTCAATAAAACAAATCGACATAACTTGAATTCAACTTAATACCTTAAAAAAAACTTAATCACAGATGTTACAAAATGATAGAATAGTTGAAGAAATAAACCAATTATTGACCCTCTCTATCAGTTAACTATAATATGAACTAATAATAATACTTAGTACAACATTTTAATCACATTATGGGATATTTAGATACTTGTTAACAAAAGTTATGTGGAATTGCTTCCAAATTTCTCCAACCTTTTTAACCTAATAATTCGCTGCTGTTCAGTTTCTTCTTGGATCAATTGATCTTCACTGCCACTGCTGCTGCTAAATGTTCCAAATATTATTAATATTTTTAATTTCAGTAAAATTAAAATTAATGTACATGTTAAAAAACTAATATTAATGTACAATAGATATTTTTTTAATTATTTCAATAATCATTTTAGATACCTAATTAAAAACTTTGCAATTTAATATAAAAACAATAATTCATTGTACTTCAGATTTCATTTTCATCTTGTATACAAAATGAATGGCTAAACCTTGACATAATACTAATCCCCAAGATAAACTCCAAGATAATATGCAAAAGGCAGTTGACATTTTGAAAAAGTAAGAATTTATGTATTTAAAGCATGATTAGAATAAAAACTTCTGAAGTACAGTCTTAAAAATATTATCAATAAAAAAATTACAGTAGGAAATAGAACATTTGTGCCACCTCCTATTTTAGTAAATACAATATACGTCTATTCACTTAGATCGAAGTTAAGGATAAACATAGATTTCTAATAGTAGTTCATAATTTATTGGTTTTTATTGAAAAAATTGACAAAATTATGAGCATAGCCCATTTGTTTAATGACGACCTTAAAAGAAATCGTTAAGACTCTTTATGAAGACAATGGTCAAAATGTTGACTGCTGTGAATTCTTATAATATGAGATCTCACCAATCTTTAATCTTTGTTCTGGCCGCCATGAGGGTTTTTCATAGGTTTACTTAAATACAGTTTGACGATTTAAATGAAATATTATTGATTTAAAAAAAACTAACAATGATGATGTACACCTACTGAAAGTGGCAATACTAAACATTTTAAATCCAAAGAGAAAATACCACGGAATAATATAATATATTTATTCTGTGAAAGTACCATAGACCATATATATTTGTAGACAAAGTATGCCAGGCTGTGATGGTTGGGGGACAGTGACAGCAAACTGCGCTGCATTGATGTATTATTATAGCGGGTGGTCAATTCAAAAACCAGACAAGTTACTACTAATACAAAATACAACTTTAATTCAACTACAGTTGGTAAAAAATAAATCTATTTTGGTAGAAAACACAGCAGGATCAAATCCCTTGTTCTCTAAATTCTATACAGTTTTTTTAATAGTTGGTCTAAAGTAAAACCAGTTGAATCATAATAATACTCTTGTCAGTTAAGTTATAACATATAAACATTATTATATAATTAAAAACAGTAAATTAATTTGTGATGTTTAATAAAAAAAAATATATAAAAGTTTACACATACTCTAGCGCTTAATTTATTGTTTAAAAATAATAAATTTTGAAATATCATAAATACCTAGTAACTCCACTACTGGTACTAGAATCAGTTTCGGAAGAAATATTACTTGGTGGTCTAGTTTCTGATTGCTCATCATTTTCTGTAATATCCGAAGTTTTAGTTTCACTGTTTAAAGTTGAATCGGTACTATCAAGACTAGAAAACAAAAGAATAATAGTTAACAGTGTTTGTTATTATTAAAACATTTTAGAATATTTGATGTTTTTGACAAAAATATATTCAACCCAATGGCAACTTGAATCTACAAAAATCAAGGTGCAAGCTGCATAGGCCTACCTACCAACCTACACACCCACCAACTAAATTTACTAGGACAAATGTAATATATTTAAGTTCTTCGTAAGTAAGATTTTTCACGTGCTTATACAATTAATAATAGCTACACTTATTTTTAGCTTGAATGATTAATGTTATGTTATGATAAAAGTATAAAACCTGTTTAATTTCAAAAAAAAATTGTATGATAATAAGGGCCCAAATTTAAAACAAAATGCAATATGTTTTAGGAAGTCCCAATCAATGATTTTCAAGTACAAAATCCGTTTCATACACCAGAAAATTAAAAACTTAAACTTTTTATTTTTAGCAGTTTAGACATTTTTTAAATAATTTTTATACATTATGTACATTTTTAGACCAAAGTTCATAGGTAATTTAAAATATTAGCCAGAGAAATTTTAATTTAACTGTTTATCATTTGTCAAACATACTATTTATGATTTTGATGTGTCGATAACGTTTTTGCTTACCATACTATGAATAGTAAAGTTAAAATTACTTTAATAGTAATATAAATACATAATAAAATATAGTTAGTAATATTGGTTGACAGACTTTGCTTAGAATGGTTGTTTGTTTGCAATTATCTATTATTGAATTCAAATTTAACACATCCACTCAATAACGAGTGTATACACGACAGCTACTATGCAGCAGACCAAGTCACCTAATTTTCGTTTAAATTCTAATGCCACTAATATTTTTACTCGCAATGCATTTGACTAAATATTGTAAAATCCAAATCCAATTAAAATTAAGAATTATATTCAATTCAAAATCATTTACCCAGCTATAAGACATGCTGATGAATACTGATTCATCATTACTACAGCAGCGTCCAACATACATTTTATATCAGTAATGTATTTAATGCGTGCTAAACATCCTTGTCTTGTATTTTGCTCCATTAGACGTAATTCTTCATCAGATAGTGTATCCAAGTTAGGAGGCATATTTGGTCGCTGAATTGCAATTCCTTTTATTAACAATGTATTAATTAGTTAAAATAATAAGTTATTACAAGAAAATATTATTTTTAAAATTGTTAATATATCTCTTAATAATGAATGTTTATAGATGAATAAAAATAATTATTTAGTTTATGTTAATTCAGTAGTGAGAAATAAGAATACCAGTTTCCTTAACCTTTTAGGGCTAGCAGCTTATTTAAATATGGTATAGGCAATTTCTAACTCCTTGTAAATTTTAACTAAAAAATTATTTGGTTTTATATATTTTATTCTTCTTCTTTTCATTTTATGCTCTCCTATGTAAATTAGGGCTTGCTTTTCTATACATCCTATTACCCAAGTTCTCATTGGGAAGCACATAAAAAAATAAATATTGTATTATTGTGTCTAAACCCATTTTTTTATTGGATATTATGCAACCACATTTAAACCAATAATATTTTAACCAACAAATATTTTGGCCGAAATTATTTCAGCAGATTGGATTTTAGCACACAAATATTTTTGCCAACAATATTATAGACGAAAGCTAAAATATGGTTTAGCCAAAATATTTGCCTGGTGAAATACTGTCAGCTAAATTATCTTTGGATCAAATATCAGATATTATTAGGGTAAAATATTATTCAGTCGAAATATTTTTTCAACTAAAATACTGTAGGTGACATTATTTTTGAATTTTTTATAGCCCCTCCTACTTTGTGGAAAAATAGATTTCATGCAATATTATCAATTGTCAATTATTTATTATAAAACAAATAATTTTAGAATCATTAAGGTAGAATTACCGCGTACTCCCTAACTTATCAAATAAAAATAATTTAAAAATAAGTGAAAAAGTTTCTAGATAGAATTTTAATATTAGTTGGTTCAATTAAATTTACTTACCACCAACAAATGGCAAATCAAGTGGAATTTGTGGTATATTTGTAAATGGTAAATTGGAGGATGTTTGAGGTATATCATCTAATTAAAACAAATAAATAAATATTAAGCTAGCATCTTAAATGTTGTATCTATTAACTTTTAATAATTAGTATTTTTAATTACTGAATAATGTTGATGGCCCAATTCCACCACCTATTCCTGCTGCATTCATAAACGCAATCCATGATTCATTCATATTATTCGATTCAGGTATGCCATTATTTGAATTATCACTGTTGCTTCCATTAATTTCATCAATAGATGTTGATCGTTGTTGAAATGTATATGGTCTAAATTGATACTGGAGTGGTGTTTGATTATAATAGGAACTTCCACTACTTCCTGCTTGACCAGAAGATACATGTGTATGATTGCTAGATGGTCCGCGATTGTTGTCAGTAGCAGAAGATGATGCAGCTGCTTCAGCTGATGGTGTTTCCTGGGCTGTTCTGCCAGGTGTTGGTGTTGCTGGTGTGGGAACATTAGAATTTTGAGTTGTTAAAGGTGTTGGGCGCAAAATATCTAATCTACAAGTAGGACATGTTTGATGACGTTGGAACCAGCTTCGTAGACATGATGTATGAAATATATGGTTACAAGGCAATTTTTTTGCAGCTAAAAATAATTAAATTAAAAAAATTATTATTTTATTTTATTATTTTAATAGAATGCAAAATTTAAGTTAATGCTACAATTGTACAATGTTAAAATTATTTTATATTTATAAGGTTAGGTTAGGTTAGGTTATACATCAATAATTACCTGCGGCTGTCATATCTTCCCGGCATATAATACACACGTTTTCAATGGCTTGTAAATCGTGTAACGTAGCATCTGGGTATAATGTATTCATATTATGTATTGCTCTACGAGAGAGTACAAGATCTTGGAATACTTTTTTGAAATTTCTACAAAATAATTTGTTTGTGCATTAGTATTGCTTATACATTTTAGATAGACAAGCTCTACAATTTTTTAAATTATCTCTTCAGTTGCTTATCAAATAATACTATTAATGTTTATTTAAAAGAGTTAATGGTATAAGTACTATCATTGATAATACAGTGGATGTGAATAATATATAATGTAAGGTATTTTGATTTGTTTTCAAAATAAGAGTAGACTTTCTAAAAAATATATACTTAAATATATACTTAAATATATAAGACGTATTGTTTAAATTATTTTATTTTTTTACCTCAGTGTATGATACATTGGTCGAAAAGCAAATAGCGGTATTGTGTATGTTCGTACCATGATTATAAGGAAAACCACATACATCACAGCTTTACACAATCCTAATTAATCAAACGATAGATTAGTTAAAATGATTAAAATAATGAATTTAAGAGACATAATATACAATACTTAATAAGGGGAATGCAGTCAGTATTTAAAGAAAAATATAGAAAAATTGATAAGAGAATATTTTGATGACTAGCCAGCTTGAAGACTATAATAAGGAAACCAAATACGGTTTCTGATAAAGTCCCAAAATTAGTAGCACAATTAAACGGCCACAAGATGTTCTAAGTAAGCTAGGGTTGCTATTTTAATCAGTGTAGTATAGGGATTATTCATGTTATCTTACATTTTTTGGAAAATCTATGCATTATATTGAACCATGCTCATTTATAGATTTAATAGCATGAACGATTAAGTAGTTTATATATGCACTTATGTGAGTATTTCATAAACATTCAATATTTTTAAGAAACAAATTTGAGTATAATGATCATTCAAGAAAACACATGTGCATTGTGTATATAATAGTATCCAAGGCTCGGACTTACTGTAAACATAGATATTTAGGTATAAAAGAACTAGATATAATGTTAACAGATAGTATAATTTAATTATTTACACAATAAAAAAATATTACAAAAATATATGTATATGTACATAATATTTAAAAGCGTAATCATAAAAGCTACAATATCTAGAAAAGGTTATAGTAAAAAATAATGCATATTTTTTTTCAAAAAACATTAATAATCCCTATACTAAAAGTGTTAAAGTAGCAACCCTAGCGTACACAGTGCAGCATGTGACTGTATACTCTTATGACTCATTTCAGTACATTTTTTCATGTGGCTGGCTGTAAAAGTTTGGTTTTCTCAATTTAGTCTTCATGCTAGCCAGTGTGTATCATTTTAATCTAGTGATATTATCACACATATAAATGAATAGTTTATACATTATAATTGATGCACTTCTTAACACACAGGGATATGTCAATAAATATTATTCATGGGTCACTATTCAAATCGATATAAAATATGATATCTCTTGACAAATCTATAGAACTATGGGTTGGTCAGCTTTTGATTTTTATACATCAACATATTAAACACATTATAATTGAAGAAAAGTTTTAATAAGTATTCTAAGAAATGTTTGTTATAAATTACATATAAAAAATAAAATTATTGTTTTTATGTTAAATGATATTTCAGTTGAAAAAGAAATACATATTGAAAATCACTTGAATTAAAACATAGTTAAATTGTTAATGTTTCAAAAACTAAATTTGTCGTAGCAAAAATCTTACTGATTTTTCAGGTGACTATATCAAAATACAACTGTTTTGTATGATGATTATAAATTGTGGTCCCCTTAAACTTAATATTAAATTTGTAATTGTAGAAAATATATATTTCAAATAATCTTACCAATAAAAAATTCAAGGTATAGCAGGAGAACAGCTTTACTTTCCCAAAAAGTGTCACTATGTACATCAACTGCATGCAATATATATTTAAAGGCAGCATTAGCTGCTAATGTGATGAGTAATGCATATTCAAATCCAAATACTAATTGCACAGATGGGCCTTTGATCATTGTAGTAGTATATGCATCATGAACGAAATATATGTCACCCAAAGTTAAGATGACTAATAGCACTATTTAAAAATAATTTAAATTATATTAGAAGTATAAAATGTGTATATTTGAATACAGAAATATTAAGATTACTTACACCATATGCGCAAATGAAATAAATATGATATAACTGGAGTACGTTCCATCTAAAAATATAAAAAATAAAAATAATATAATTACATACTTAATAACAACATGTTTATTAAATATAAAATACGTAAACATACATAATCTACTCGATCCTCTGCCAGCCAATGGAAACATTTTAGAAATAATAATAAAGTAAATAGAGCTACAAATTTGGGACTCAAGTCATCTTTAAAAATAGTAAATGCTAAACATGTTTCTGTCACAGCATACCAGGCCTTTTCTATTAAACGCTAGAAATATAAGTACACAAATAAAGTAATTAAATCACATAGACATTGGAAGTTAATCATAAAAATTAAAAATTTATAAAATAAATACCTCTGATTCTGCGGGGCGTAATGAGCCAAAAAATAATTTACCAGTTAATTTTCCGATTAAATAAACAGCAACTAAAGCTTGCATATACATTATCTAAAATATAAATATATTAATTATGTATAATTATTGTAACTTTTAACCCACTTATTAAAAAAAAACATTAAGGTATTATTGTTTTTTTAGTTAATGTGAACGTTAACTCTTATGATAATGGAAATGCTTTAGTGTAATTGTACTTACAGCCATACTTGGATTGGATTTACATATGTATACAACTGACGGGTAAAATTGTTTCTTTTGACGAAAAGCATTTGCTACAACACAACTGGACAACACTAGACTTATGGCTACAGCCGTGGTGCTCGTCATTTTCGCAGCGGCCGCAGCCGTAGTTGTACTCATATTGATACTTAATTTCTATATGTCGAAAAATAAAATTACATAAAAATAATGCTTTACACGTACGCGAATGTGAAACTGTCGATTATAAACCGATAATTCAACCTTTCAATGTAAACAAATACAATCGCACTTGGAGTCAACTTCGAGTACTATGTCTTGTTCAATATTATATTATTTAAATTATATTTTCTTTTATGTTTCAGCAAAAGGACTAAGGAGTACAATAAAACGACATAGCTGTTGTCACTCTTTTCCAGCGTATGGACGAAGCGCACGTCAACTAAATAATATCAATACTGTTATCATTTGTAATTGATTATGTTTAACAGCAGGGTATCGGAATGATAAAATTATGATCAAGAAGATAAGAGATTAAAAATTAATTCAATTTCCTTTTATTAGAAATACGAAGCATGCAAAACATTTTAATAATTATTATTGTCGGTATAATTATACTCAAGAGTCAAGAGTCATGTACACTCTACAATGTCATGGCTAAATGATATGTTTTATCCATGGTCTACAAAATACTACCGTAAATATCGATTGTTATCCATCGATAATATCTGATATCGATTTTTAGTTTATAAAATTTGTAACCATCCGTTGTGCTTATTGTAAATTTCTGTTACAGATTGTACAAATTAATAAATATGTTTAAAAAAATAAAAAAATAAAAAATATTTACTAGGTACCTACCTGCATAGATAATAGATATATCTCTTTATTATATATGCCTAATTACTAATTAGTAGTTACATAATAATAACTAGTATTTGCCCAATTCAAATTAAAAAAGAAGGAAAGTAGGTTACCGCTCTGTTGTACAGTTGGTGTCGAGTGAACTCGTTGAGGAGTAACTGTAAGAGTAAAATGTGTGATTTAAATTTGAATTCAATAATAAATCATTGAATGCAAAAAACGATTGTGAGCGAATGTCTGTCGACCTATATTCATAGACTTAAAGAAATAGACGGAACATTAGGTATGATAACGCGTGCAAGTGGGTGGAGCTTGTTCCGAGGATCGGGCGTTGAAAAACCGCGGGAATAATTTTCAATATTTAAATATATCTATAATAAAAATAATCTATAATATCTATTACTTATAGAAACTATGAACAATTGTAATAATATTATTCATTGAAGTAGGTTATGTTATTACCTAATGGCTAATATTATCTATTATCTAATAGATCGAAAATAAAAGATTATTTTTATTAAACTATTTATTGTCCTATTATAATACATTATTTAAATTTATAAATATTTATTAATTGTTTAAACTTATGTTTTTTCATTTATTATAAATATTATTTATAAATTTGAATAATAAGTTCAGTTATGAAGACATGCATTGTGTGCGAATGTAATGATCAAAAGGCAACATTTCATAAGTATATTTATTTGATGAATTATATATCAATAACTAATAAGTCCAGACTTGGCTACCTTTTTTGAAAGTATTCAATACGGTATTTTTTACAAGTATTCTAAGTACAGTATTCGGAATACTTTTTTTCTTATATAGGTATACTCTTATGCATTAGGTACTAATTTTATTAATTTGAATATAATTTATGACTAATAGATTCAAGATTGCCATATAGGTGTGTAGGTACTATTGTGATTATAGTAATCTTCTTTTATAAACACAGAATTGAAAAAATAATATTTTTGGTATTGAAATCTAAATCTACTGAAAAAAAGTATTCAAAAAATATTTGAAATACTTTATGTGAAATATTCTAGATACTTAGGGTTAGGAATATTATTATAAAGTATTCGAATACATACCTATTCTGAATACTTTTTTTTAAGTATTCAGAATATTTATTTGAAATACTTTTAAAAAGTATTTTACCCAAGTCTGTCAATAACTTGGTAGTTGTTGGGTGGCAGTTATTATTAATTGTTCTTTGTGCATTTTATTAAATTAGATTCCCTAGTAATCCATATATGAGGCAAAAATGGTTAAATCAATGCAACATTAAAGGAACACTACCTAATTATTCATACATATGTTCATCACATTTTAAAAAAGAGGATTATGTTAGTACTAGACTTAAGAAGGATGCACTCCCAAAACTTGTCGAGTAAGTTTAAGAAAATGTGTATATTTTATGTCAATGTAATATAAATATAATTGTTAAACATTTTTGAAATTTAGAGACCAAATTGAAATACAATATGTTCCCTCACATAGCAAAAATAAAATATTAAGTTGTTCAGAATCAAGTACACCACAATATGTTGAAAATAGGTATTATTTGGACCTTGATAGAATATTTATAAATTTTCAAAAAGTGTAGTACCTATATAATGTTATTATTTATTATTATATTATTTTTAACAGTCCAAAAATATCTACTAGTACTTCTTTAAGTTCTTTATCCAGTGTGAATGACCACGGTGAAAAGTAAGTTTAAAAAAATGTGTTTAATGTATTTTACGTAAATGTAATATGATTATTATACCTTTTGGGAATGTAGAGAGTATTCAATAATCATAGAGAGCAATTAATTAATCTGATTATAGATTTATTTTTGAAAGTTCGTCTTAGACATATTGGAACCAGGATAAACGATGATGTATTCAAATCTTCATTCAGGCAAAAATTTACAAAATTAGTTACACATATGAATCAATAAATTAATAAAATAAATTAATTAATTAATAACTTTAGCTGAAAATGTAATATTTATTATAACAGGAAATATAATAATTATTTTATTGTTTTTATATGTTTATTTTAGATTTATCAAGGAAACATTTTTAGTTTTAAAACAAACTACAAAGAAAAATTTAAATACAAAAGTCTAACAGATATTAATTAACAATTTATTATATTTTACAAATGAGTTGAACTTGAAAATTTCAACTTAAATTATGAAATTTGTATTTTAAAATATAAAGAATATTATATTATTATCACAAATAATTGTCTTATCATTTAGAAAATAATAAAATTGAACGAACGCTCTAATTGGCTGTCCTCGGAGCAGAGGCCAATTCTCTCACTCTTATGATAAAACTAATGCTGTCTCTCTTAATCCGTTTGGCACGACCACGCCACCCAGTCCTCGGGACTAATGTTCCGTCTATTTCTTTAAGTCTATGCCTATATTAGGTAGGTACTCAGTATTAAGTAAGTGTTATGATATAATTGATGTTAAAGTAATTTATTTTACTATTAGTGATACGGTAGGTTCAATTAATTTTTAACATTGCATTTGAAAACGTGATTGTGTGCAAAAAATTACGCTTTTTATTTTTGGTCGGCCGTGCCGTCGACATGACGTGCGTGCGTAGAATTGCCGTAGATAGCTCGGTACCCGCATACAATCACACTCACACTGAAAAAATATAATATATTATATAATGCCATGGGCGGCAGTAACAAAATTGCTTATTGCCTAAATATTGCCTCTTAATAAAGACCCACGAGCAGGCCCCTTAAGCAAAAAAAAAAAATGGACTAAATAATTGCAAAATAGTCTATTTTCAAAAGCTGAAGTAAACGATGTTTTTTGGCATGTTGTTAGTAGTGAAATAAACAGTTAATAACGGGAGATAAACACTACATACTGTGCCCGGCGCCTCCACCATAAATGTTACGTGGTAACAATAATTAATTTATTGTCTATCACTACTGTCTACTGACTACCTACTGGTATACGGTGTGTAATTGTGTATCCGTAGTGATAGATCAGTACCAAACGGGGGAATGTGAGAGGATTTGGATGTTCGACAAGGCAACAAGTTATACCGAGTATTATTTAACGTATATTTTAAAATGTAAGACAAAATGTAATATAAAATATTTTACTTTACCGATGACCTGGCAGCAACAATACACGGAGCAAGTGGTGAAACGACTAAACGAGACTGATCTCGTTCGGCTGACGAATGTCAAGCAGGCCAAACGATTATTATAAATTTTGTTTACTATACAAAATAGTTATACATATATATAGGTAGCTATTAGCTTTACTCCGTGATATTACAGAATGGATAAAAGATGACACGCGCATCTATGATATTTGTATAGTATATAATACTATTCGTAATAATATTATAATTATAAAAATATGAAAACTATGGTGTTTGCAAGATAGTCTACAAAATTGTCCAGAAAAAATGTCTCTTAAAAAAAATCAATGTATGAAACAAATATAAAACAAAGCTATAAATAATGAAGTAGGTAGTAGTAATAGGTACTTTTACTGTAAACCGCTTCAATAAGCAGTATTATTTGAAGTACGAAACCATGTTTTACGGTCGATTTTTTTCTACTGTGACGGCCTCTTAATAACAGTTTTCGTGAAACGAGGGCTGATGTCGATAAACAACTAAATTACGACAAGCATGAGATATTATGTTGTATAGTATTTTCATATATATATTATATATATCACTCATGTTATTTATATCAATGATATTTGATATTTTCATTGATTTTATAAAATCAATGATATTATATTGTATCATTTACGTCGTTTGCGATAAAAATATTCGTTATCGTAGTTATAACGTATTTGTCCGTAACCCATCTTATAGGCGTTGACACAGTTCGGTAGACACCATTGACAGTCAATTCGTAAATTACTCTCCGTGATTTTGTATTGTATTTTTAAATTGACATTTGACGATTACATATAGATCTTTTTTCTAAATTTAAAAAGAGTACTGGAGATGCCCAAGAAACGATGTAGTTTTGGTCCAAAATTAGAAACAAAGCTTCCTTTTTATGAGATGCTGATGAAATAGGGAAAGTTCTATGTAACGAGTGTACATTTATATTATCAATTGAACACGGCGGGACAATAAAAAAAATATATTTCTAAACATTTGAACATTTTTATTAGATATTTAGGTTAGGTTAGTCGTTATTCAACTTAAAAAGGGTAAATAAGTTAGAAAATAATTGTTTGTGATATGACACATATTTAGTCGTTTACACTCTACAGTTGTATGCTTATGTATGAATTTATATAGATATGTTTTTTTTGGAGGGAGGGGAGTAAAAACTATCCCGTTATTTATTTCCCTAAAATATTCATCCTATTATATATTGTGTATTGTGAGTCAGTGAATGCTCGTACTCTGCGGGTTAGTAAATAGTAGGTTTTTACCAAGGTGGATACATATTTGTGCATATAATATGTATGTATATACTATATATTCACATTGTTGAATCTGTATAATAATCTATTTAATCTGTATATGTCTCCTATTTTTAATTCTAAGTAACTTTGGCATAAAGTTAGCTGAAATTTATTTTAGAAAATTTGACCACGGACCTTTTTGAGCCAAGAGCAAAAAGTCGTGTATCACAGATAAGTGCCGACATAAAGCAGAAAAAATGTTCTGGTAATTCGTAAATTAAACCATAAAACCAACCTCTGTGACATTAAAGCGAATTACCAGAACTAGAGTAGTTTAGGACAACTTGTTTTTATTGTAAACATTCAAATTAAAAAAATCTGACCTTAATAGCAAGGATAGTAATCAGGTTACTGTAAGGCTAGCAGGCTACCACTATTCATAATGGATTTGGAGCCCATATAAAATACATGTGTAATCTTAAAAATGTGCTTTGTTATAAAATTAAAGTAGAACTTCCAAGAAAAAATAGTAGTGCTAAAAGGCAAAAATTACCCAACTGTTTGAAAAAAACTGCAAATTAAAATAGAAATGTGAAAACTTAATTGATTAATCGGACTCCACTTCGAGTTGACCATTGAAAACAAATGTCTACTATTTGTAACTCTGATACAATCTCATAAATCTTGTGGCTTATGGTATTCAACTGTGAGATTGTGCCACTAAGTCTTAAACCGTCTTTTTAACTATTACTGCATCCTACTGGTCCAAAAGAAAAAACTCTATTCACCGTGATATGATGCTGCCTACAATAGCAAACCAAATCCAAAAGTTTGCTTGCCAACACGAGATGAGACTAGATCACCACCTTTAATCCATTGACCATCCGCCCATCTAATTACCAGACAATTCCAAGAACAGCAGACATCTTAAGCGTCTGAAACCATACGACTTAGTTTAAGAATTTAGATTAAGGCTACAGGTGAGCCACTTCATTGGAAGTGCGACTACATCGACGTATAAAGTATATATTATTAATATCTAATATATAAAATATAAACAATTATTAAACCTTAGGACAGTTTAAATAAAGGCAATAGAGCATTTAAAAAAATAAAAAATAAAAGACAATACATAATACCCATTACAGCATAATATTCCTAAAATCATGAACAACAATATATTATGGTGTGGTATAATCAATTTCGCAGCACTTTTTTGGCTTGTTTTATACTTTTTCATTCTTTTTTGTTTTGTTATTGATGTGCTCTGTGCCGTTTCTATAATATCATTCACCCAGTTTCTATAATAGTGTATGAAAATGTGAATAGTCTGCATGTCTTCACCTTTGAGATTTAGTGAAAAACTGCATACTCCATACTGCCAGCCATTGCAAATCATTGGACCACCACTGTCTCCTTCATATGTTTTTCGCTTGTTTGGTACCACACATAAATATTGTTCCCATGTGTCTATTATTTGAACACTATGTAAACATGTAAATTCTATAAATCTTGTCTGAATTATATATGTTTATTACCTGTCATATCCTTCACAAGCTTTTCTACCATGTTTAACCATAATTGTATTCATAAATCCTTCATTGCCTAAAGTATTTTCAGCATTAATAACACCAAACCCAAACACAGTACATTTTAAGATTTTGTTGTTGGCGAAGTCGATAGGCGTGCCACCTATCCTTACATATTCCTTAATATGAGGGTATGGTTTTTCCATCTAATTCAAAATATAGTAACAATAATATTTAGTACAATATAAATTTATAAATAAATATAAATTATAATATTTATTTTTTATTTTTTAAATTATAACATTGTTTGCTTTCTCAACTATTAAAATATGACAATTGCCAAGGTGGTTACTACCTACATGGTTATTGGTTACTATACATATTATATATATAATCTGTATAAAAGGCAAATAAGGATAATTCAATGAAATCTGTTTAGGTACAAATAAATCTTAATGTTCTTATGTAGTGTAATATAAAAAAAAAGTGCCCTTACTTCCAATATACTAATATCTCCAATTATAACTTCAGATACAGGGTTATAGCTTTCGTGTACGAATAGCTTGACTACGTTTCGTAAATCATGATTTTTTATCCATGAACCTTGATATACCTGTATAAACATGGGCAATTTAGTAACAACGTATTTAAATGTATTTTGTGCATAATATAATATGTAGTTTTTTACATTAAATACATATTACATAGATATATTTACTTTTATATCCCTTTTGTCTTTACCGTAAATACAGTGAGCAGCCGTCAATACGAACAATTCTGTTAACAACGAGCCTGTGCAAGTCTCTATCCTTTTATGAGGTACCAATACTTTTACAGACATAATGTATGGATAGTCTTCAACATTATACATTTCCCCATTGGCTATAAGTCCTTTGTGTTTGTACTTGGAAGACTTAGATTCAAACAATGCCACTTTAAAAGACAGTAATAAAATGAGTGCAATTCGCATCGTGTCTTAAACGATTGCTGTTTGCGTACCTATTATTAATATTTTGTTGTATACGATTAAGATAGTAAACACTTCTATTATCATGACAACACAATTCTTTTAAAATGTACATAAATCTATATTGTTTGAATATTCATTAATAATTTTTTGTGCTCACGACTCGTCAGGTCATTTGGAATTTTGCGCCACCGATTACGAGAAGGTTTTCAAAGCTTCGTCTGCCGTCGAGATAATCCCCTGCATGCTCCAGCGTGACAGCCCGGACCTTTGGCGTGGACAATAGCCAAAAAGTACAGGCACCAGCATGACCATCGTAAGACCAGCTTCGTCGGATTTTTCCGATGCGGCAGTTCGGCGTTTAGTTTATTAAATAAATCATGTAATTTGTGTTGTTTTTTTTTTATTACAATATAATTGAGTAAATTCACTGCATTACGCGTTGTTGTTGTCACGAGTTAACTAGATACAGGATACCGGTATATATATATATATATATATAGCAGAATGTTATTAGCTACTTAGATACCAGATACGATAGAATGACGGTTAGGCGTTGCAGTCGTCGTTTTTATACTTATAGTAATATAGAATAATAACATATATCATTATATTCCATATATTTTTAAAATATATTTCTACCTACATATAACATATTTACATTTTTCTTTATACATATATATAACATATTTGTATCAGATTATAATTATTAAATTATGATTTTTTTTCTAAGAATATTTATTTTATTTATTATATATTACCTATTACTGAATCTTTCAATAGCCAAATAAATTATATTATGGCAACTTTGCACGTAAATTCATTCTCAATATTTTTCTATTTTGGGTTTTTTTTGGGGGTCAGTGGTAAGTTCTTTGTACATTTTAAGTGTTCTCAATCGTTCAGTCCAAAAGGTAGGCTATAAACCTATATAAGGTTTTCAATCGTTCGATAGCCATTTGTGCCGTCCCACCTTGGTAACCTACAATATATACTCAAATGATGTGAATTTCTCTGTAGCATGAAAGCCATGAGCATACCTAGTGTAGCACTGTAGCGTTATTTTATTTATATATTAGTAGTACAATTTATATTATTTTCTCACTGATGCGATAATGTACAAGATAGTGCGATACATACTGATGTCTTATAAGTCATTCTTTTCTCTTATCGTGGCATATAGAAAGTAATCGAAATGAATACACTTTGTCAGTTGGAGAATGAATAGAACAAACTATCAACTTAACGAAGTTAAAATATCAATCCAATTCTGGACCTATATTGACTATAACGTGTTTATTTTGAAATTTTCGTCTAAACGTTCTTGATCAACGAGGTTTGATCTTCTTTGACGTTCTATGATTACGAGTTGAGAACTGCGACCTATGTTCAGACGTGGGCGAGTCAATACAGATGCTTAATAAATGTAGCACTATGAATTTAGAATAAAGATTACCGAAATAAATTTTCCTGGATTGAAAAAACAAACAATTTTGATATTGAATTGTTATGTTTTACTGATAATACATTATGTTGCTATAGTTAATTAGTTACTCGACTAATGATAATGGTTGACAAAGAAAAAGTTTTTTATCAATGTTAGCAGCTCAACAGTTACGCCTCTCACTTTCTTTCTACTGATGAGATCGGGTATTTACTATTTAGGTGTATAAAAACATAAGAGTATTCGAACTCAACGTTGTGTCAATATTTCAAGTCAATCGACCGAATAAATTTCGAGTCTTACGAGCACAAACGTAAGCAGAATTTATATATACCTACAAGATTTTAATGTTATTTTAGTCTTCTTTTTCTTTCTTTTAATTTATTCAAAAATAATCTGTTCTGGTGTCAGTGGTAGTTATTGTCTAATTGAATATTACCTGAATTATTACAAATCTTTCAGAGCCCAGATAGTTCAGTCGAAAGCTAAGACTTGAAAAATGAAAATGTAAAACAAGGTTTCTCATAAATCTTTCATACTGCAACTTTTTTTAAAATATATAAACACATTTTTTGTAGTTATTATAAGTTCAAATTTGGACGAAATCAGATATTTTAATGAAAAATAACGATTTTAGTTATTTTTTTGTAATTTAAAAATATTGTTCGTGGGTACATGAAACTTTTAAAGCATTATTATATTTTATATACACACAATTATAGTTCCAAATGCAATGTTTTCACTATTCTAATTTTAGGTAGGTATGATTGTATGAGTATTAAATATTTTATACATTTTTTTATATAAAATAATTTACACATTTTAGCAATTTTGCCAAAGTTTCAAATAAGATCACCTATAAAAAATGTTGTGACTGTGTGTTTTCGATCATTTTTAATAAACAAACTTGATACAATTTGAGAAACTACTCTAAAGTTGAAAATCCGAGAATTTTTCTACAATGATTAGGTAGTGTATTAATTGGTGACACAGGAAAATAAGTGAGCTAAATAAATGTATATAATATATATATAGTATAATATACTAGCTATCCCGTCACGGCGTTGCCCGTGTATTATATAGCTGTATAAAAAACCCCCTTTTATCCACTTAGAGATCTTGAAAAATACTTTCAAAAAAAAAAAATATTATTTACTAATGATTCTATACACTTATTGTTATTAAAAAATGATTCTATAGTTATAATTATAATTTGTATAGTTAATTATTTTGATTGTGTACACGCTGATAATAGGCTATAAGAGTAACTCAGCCGACAGCCACCTTGTTAGGAAATGTACTAAAATTCAATTTGATGCATTCTTAAACTTGCTCTGCCCGAATAACCAATGGCAACCAAAAAATGTATACCAAGTTCTACTAAAAAAATTAAGAAAGTTGAGCGGAAAATTAGTTAGGTACCTATTAATTAAAATAAGCAACTAACAAGCAAATTATGTAAGTACCTATACACATATTGTGTAGCACGGCGGCCAGCGGTTGACTTAAGTTTGTTTAAAATTTTAAGTGTGGTTGCTTAAACTAACCTTATGAACAAACACTTATAAAAAAATTCACTATAACATTTTTCATTAATCGTCCGATTGATTCCCCTGTATACGATTATATATTAACTATTTTATATCACAGATAGTCGATAGAAGATAGATGGATCTGTTTTAAATGATAAACGATAAGCGTGATGCCTCGACTAAGGGATATAGGGTTTTATATTTACATACCTAGATAGATATAGATAGATTGTAGAATTTTACTTCTCGGAACAATTCATATTTACACTCTGATCAAACACATAGTAAGACGGACAAAAAGTTATGGTTGCATGTCGCTATGGAAACCCACTAGTCGCCGTACTGTAAATTATATATACAGATAATACTATAATAGATATACAATTTGTAGGTACGTAAACAATTTATTTTTACCGATTTCAACCCTTGAAAATCGGGCGAAGTGGTGTCATTTAGGAAGGTATTTGGAACAATTCTGTGAAAAAAAAATTGGAAAAAAGTTAAATAGCTTCGTCACAAAATTGGTACATAAAAAGGCCTGTTATTGTATATATATATAAGGATATTCTATTGTTCTATGTAATGGCACTTCAATTAATCTTTAATCTCTAGCTTAAAGATTTTGGATTTTAAGTCCATAATCATTAGCTGGTACCAAAATATTTTAAAAATCGAAACCGTAAAGATTGTAAAGATTTCAAGTCCTGTACAGGTTGTACTGAATATCCCCTAAATTATCAAAATTTTCCCCAGGCCCGGATAGCTCAGTCGGTAGAGCATTAGGCTTTTAACCTAAGGGTCCAGGGTTCGAGTCCCTGTCCGGGCGAAATAATTTTTTTCCACTTTTTTTATTATATTGATTAAAGTTTAAATATTTCACTTAATTGTATGTAATAATAACAATTGCAATTAATATTTGCATGATTTACTTAATATATTTAATCTGTAATTTTTTCTTCACAGACATAATAATTATTTATTATTAATTAAATAATTTTACACTCAGAACTGAGAGATTAATGTATTGATTTGACAATGATGAAACCCCTTGGAAATATAATACAGTAGAGCCTCGATAATCCGGACGGCAAAATTCCATTTGTTGAAAATTAAAAGTATTGTTCAGAAAAAAATTACCGATTACTATACTTAAGTTCTACATACATATTATTATAGACATTTTTTTTTTTTTGTAATTCATTAGTTTAGTTTTAATTTAATTATTATTCTTGTAATTTAAAATGCAATAAATATAAAGATGGTGAAATTAAAGTTAAATCTTAGTCATTTGAGTAGATAATTTTGAAAAACCTCCGGTAATCCGGAAAAACGATAATCCGGACGATGCTCGGTCTGAATTCGTCCGGACTATTATATCGAGGCTCTACTGTAGGTATAGGGCAGGGGTGGCCAACCGGTCGATCGCGAGATGAATTCAAGTCGATCGCGACGCCCTTTCGCATTTTCTTAAATTTTTGAACAATTTGTGTATCTTTGTATATCCCACGAATAAAAAAATTGGATTTAGAAAGTGTAACACGCCTGTACATATAATATATTTTTTGTTTATTGACAGCCTTTTTTTTTTTGGTCGATCGCGATCACCTAGAAAAACTCGGAGGTCGATCGCAGGTCTATCAAAGTTGGCCACCCCTGGTATAGGGTACCTAATAAGTTATTAGTGTAACACAAAAAAAAGTTAATCGCAAATCCACAATAATTTTGTATGAGCGTCTAAAGTTAGAATTTTGACCAAATGTATTAAAATCACGGACATTTGCAAATTATTTTGTGGTTGGAAATGTATAAATATTTTATTTTCATATTTAAGATTTTAAAATTTAATTCAAGATTCCTCTTACGTTTTCTACCTATAATAAAAAAATTGTATTTAAAAGTCACAATATTTTTTTACGAGGGTTTGAAGTTTTTATTATTCATCTGTAAATTAGCCACCTGTAATTTTCAGGTATTACGTGAATAAAAAGAGTGTGGGGTGCGAGGGCTGTAGAAATGTCTTCCAGTCC